ATGATCTGTAGTTTTCTTTGTATAGGTCTTTTGTATCTGTTAGGTTCAGTCCCAAGTATCTCAATTTGTGGTTAGTTACTGTAAATGGTATTGCTTTCTTGTTCTTTCTCTGAATTCTCTTTGTTACTTGTAGAGGAATCTTATTGATTTTGGGATAGTGATCTTATATCCTGCCACTTTACTAAAATGGCCTATTAACTCTTTAACAGTTTTGTTGTTGAGTCTTTGGGGTTTTCTGTGTACACTCTCATATTATCTGCATATAGCGGCAGTTTAGCAATCTCTTTGCTGATCTGAATGCCTTTTCTGAAATGACTTTCTAATAACCTATTATCAAAACCACATAGTGCTTACCACGACAAGCAAGAAACAAGGACACTCATATACACACTTATTTTAAATGACAGAAGAGGACAGTAAGGCAGGGAAATTAGGTAAGCTGCCAAAGGTAACAAAGTTGTTTAGTGGACATGAGATCCAAGCCTCGGCTCCATGTATCATATTCTTTTGAAATAGTATGTTGTATTATTTTGCAGAGTGCATGTGCACGTGCGCGCACACGTGTGCTTTAAGAATGCCAAATTATAGGAATGTGAAAGCTCATTTCTGAAAATGGCCATTTCAATCACTGCCGAATTGGTTCTGCCTCATGATGACATTGCATGACACAGAACTGAGCCACAGGGTTTCTGAGATTGTAAACTGTTATGGGAGCAGCCCGCTTCATCGTTCTTTTTCAGAGCTGCTGGTGGGTTTGAAGCAACCTTCTAGTAGTCATCCAATGCCCCTTGCAACTAACAGAGAGAATGCTTTTACCCATTTAACACGTATTCAACACACAAAGGGTAGAAACACATTTACTGTTTTATGTTGTATGACATTTTTCAAATCCAAGCGATAAGATCTTAACTAAAAAAAATTAAAGCAGGGAAGACTGTGTAACAAAATATAGTTTGGAAGTTCCCATTAACATGTTGCGGCATACTTTTAATTGACAACCGTGCTTAGAAACTTTTTTTTTTTACCGTCATTTGCGGCAACTTGTTAGCAAGCAAGAGGCCTGCTTTGTTTTTTTTTTTTAGAGAACCTCATCTTTGAAATTAATGAAATTGTGAGCAGTAAAGAGTATAAAAGCCACAATATTAGAAGTTAGAAAATTCATAAACATACATTTATTCAGGAAATACAATTATCACTAGTATCCTTGATATTTTAATTTTCCACATTATAAAATATTCACAACATTTCTCTTAACTCTTTAATCTACACCAAGCCATGCTGACATTCTTTTCAGGTAAGTCATAGACATTTCTGCTATTAAATGTTATCATGTCCATTTTAATTATAAACAAAGTACTTGAGCAAAATGACTTAGAAATTTAGAAGATAATGACTGGAAACAAAACCAAATCCACATACCTCTAATTATTAAATCCCACAGAACCAGGCCACCACAATCTACTGTTTTACAAATGGGTAATGTGGTCCTTTAAGACAGTATATAATTATCAAATACAACATTCTTCATTTGCACTGCTAAACATGCTTTTTCAAATAATAAACATTTATTTTTGCAAGGTGTAAAGGTGAAGAGTAGAAAGATAAATAATAAAATTTTATATTAAACTGCTGGTATATTGTTATGTAAAAAAAGTAGACTATTTTACAGGTAAGAAAGTACCAAGTACCTTTTATTCTAAAAGAAATTAAACATAAGTAATCATTAAGCAGATGAAATAAAATTGTTTCAAAATAGAGTCCAGTGTGATTAGAGTTTTTTTAAAAAAAAGGGTGGGGAAGCTAGTGATTTTTAATTCTAGGCAGCCATTAGAAACACCTGGAAATTTAAAAAGGTAATTGGCCCCACTCTGAAGACTGAGTCTGTTGGTGTGGGATGGGACCCGGGCATCAATATTGTTTTACAGCTTAGCTGGTTGTTCTATCATACACCTATGATTGAAAACCATGGAGTCAAGCCAATTTAAAATACCAATAAATGCAAACCAGGGGAAGTAGGGTAATTTATACATATCTGTAATTTACAAATCAAACACTATACAATACCTTACGTTTGTGATTCATATACTTATAAAATTTCCTTCACTTCCTTCTTATATTTGACCAGTACTGTACATTTTTGTCACTAAAGGAAATTTTCTGTGGTTTTAAAATTTTGGGATATACTGTAAACTTACTAATGAAAAACTCTTGCTACTCATGCTTTTTATGGTAGCAAGTAAAACTACTGCAGTTGGCTCCATTAAACGATCCTTATTTTAATTATAAATAGGTGCCAATCCACACAAAGAACAGATTGTGGATTACTGCGGAAAGAAAAAAAAATACAGCTTACTCAATTTACTAAGTTGCAACACCAAAAAATATTTAACTTGGCTGAATATCCTGAAACAGCTGATACTGAACCAGGAAGCTCTTAAGTTATAATAAAGTGTTAACACACCCTTAAAAAAGACTGCAGCTGTAGCTACACTAAAATAAGGTGTCTTGAGGGTTTACTTACCCCATAATGCAAGAATACAAGCATAACGATAATATTACTATCTTTTTTAATATGCAGATACCTCTCTTTAATAGATAAACCTCTACAGCAAAAACCTCTAGTAATTTTACAATTAAATTAAGTTCATAATTCTACACTATTTTGGTCTCAACATTTTAAAAGCATCAATTATTCTTGAAAATATGTAACTTAACAATATGATCGATCCTATCAATAACAAGCACATTTTATGGTGGACTACAGACACATTCAACCATGCAATCCAGTGTTCAATACTTAAACATAAGTAAAAATGTTGACTTTTTATTCTGAAAATCATTGAAAACTGGAATAACCTTTCAAGATTCACAGTGCTCACAAACATGCAGGGAAAGTACATTTTTCTATTCTTCCAGAAGGAATGTCACAAAATGCCCACTTTTTTACACAGGGTTACAACAAATTCCTTAATTATTTCAATCCATTATCATCTTCTGTAGTATCCACCACTTAAAATTTTAAAAATCATACAAATTTTCCTTAAAGTTGTGTCTGTTTAATTTCAGCCTTTAAAAAGACTTGGGTCACAGTCATACACTTATAGCTGCCTTTCCATAGAACAGTGCCATCCAGTGGACAAATGAAATAATGTCTCAAAATTTCCATCATGCTATTTGACTCTTAAGATGGCATTTCTATATCCAACCATTTTAATATGAATGAGTTCTACACATTTTGAAAGAGTCTGTAGATTCTTATGATTACATCACCTGGTAATTTATATGCATCTTAAATACATCCTCCTCCTTCTTCCTATTTGAAGTCAATCATTTAAATTCAGCTAGTCAAAGTATGTCTAATTAGCTCTTGAAGCTAGTTTAGATTAAAAAAAATTACTGCATCTTCTTTGCTTTCACTATTCTTCAACTGCACTAACTGGCTCATCTCTAGGAATGAAAGGATCAAAACAAAAGAAATCGAAAAAAAAAAATGAACAGTATTAAAAAAACTTGCAGGTGAAACGCGAATTTAAGCATTTGTAATTTATGATATACTACTGAATACAAATAGAAAGAGATGTAATCAGGAACGCTAACAATCAAATTACACCCTCTTACCATAGTGCTCTAATATTATGAAAGTATACTTATTTTAGCAATGATTGTTTCACTGTTTAAAAATTTACTTTTACAAATAAGTACAAATGAATAATATGTTTAAATAAAAGTAAAAAATTTCCACTGTTCTGAGTTACGATTTATTATTGATTATATGTATATATAATGTAGGTGTTCAAAAGTACAAAACACAGTAGCGATGTTAACATCAACAGTGAATGAACTGCTGTAGCTGAGGTGACGTCTAGTTTACTGGTAAACTGTAAAGAAATTTCACAGGTAAAAAAAATAGAGTAAGCAAAAAAAGAACTGGAGAAGAGATATTTTCAAATAAGTAGCCAAATGAAGAAAGCTTTTTGTTTTAAAAAAAGATTAAGAATGTAAAAGTACATTTTAATATTAAAAAAGCATTTTTTAAAAATCTATAACAACTTTATGACAAAATCTGCATTTGAAAAAGGCCTGTAAAAACAGTAGGACAGAATTGCCCTCATCACCTTTAACTTTTTCTTGTCAGAAAAAAGTGTATGCATCTCTGGAACCATAAATGATGTTATAGTATTTATAAAATGGCAAGAACGATTCATGGGAATTTATTTTTTTTTTTTT